CAAAGCACCCTTCAGGATGGTGTGGCTATGAATAAGGCCTTTCTCCTTCCATCGCCGCTGATTTTTTTCACCGGCTAATAGCCTGGAAGGGGAGCTAATCCACAGGTGACAGTTCCACAAACAAAACAGAGATCCATAAAGCAGTGCAATCCCGGTTCTCTGAGGATCACGATGCCAGCTCCAAGTTGTAAACTGAGGATCACTTATTTTCCTGGCGCNGTGTGGCTATGAATAAGGCCTTTCTCCTTCCATCGCCGCTGATTTTTTTCACCGGCTAATAGCCTGGAAGGGGAGCTAATCCACAGGTGACAGTTCCACAAACAAAACAGAGATCCATAAAGCAGTGCAATCCCGGTTCTCTGAGGATCACGATGCCAGCTCCAAGTTGTAAACTGAGGATCACTTATTTTCCTGGCGCCGAGTCAAGCCTTAAGCTTTACATCTATAATAAAAGCTTTTCAAAAAGAAGCATCCCTGTTGAATTGGATGTTTTTCTTTCACAAGTGTCTTCAAGTCAACAAACCAACCCGTGTTGTTTAGATCGGAATGTCCTGTTCCGAAGAATCGTCCCCCCAAGGGGCTGTTTCTCAACCTTGGCAACTTCAAGAGATGTGGACGTCAACGCTCAGAATTCCCCGGCCAGCCATGAATTCCCGGAGTTAAAAGTCCACCGCTTTGAAAATTGCCAAGGTTGGACGCCTTGAGAAACTAAGAAATGTGTGGACTTCAACTCCTATAATTTTCCCAGCCAGGGCGGATGGGTTTCAGCTTCCCAAATTCATGCATGCTGGCTGGGGAATTCCGGGAGTTGAAGTCCACACATCTTAAAAGATGAAAAACATTGATATAAACCAGGGGTAGTCAGCCTTGGCTCTTTTATGACTCGTGGACTTCAACTCCCAGAATTCCTGAGCCAGCTCAGCTGGCTCAGGAATTCTGGGAGTTGAAGCCCACGAGTCATAAAAGAGCCAAGGCTGACTACCCCTGATATAAACAGTCACAAACGCAGAGACACCCTGCTACAACCAGCAGGAACTCGGCCAGGTGACCTCAAGGGTGACACGTCAGGTCACCTGATCCATCAACAGGCACAGCTCCTCTCCAACAACAATTCAAATTAAGATCCACTTATCTTCAGGCAGCTGACAGTCGCAAATAGCCGTATGACGGAAACGCCACGACGTTTCTTTCCTCTTACAGACATCCCAACCCACTCCGTTTTCCAAAACTTACCGGTGCTACAATTTTGCCCGTCTGTCCAACTTGCATGTCGTTGGGGACAAAGCCGGCATCAACCGCCGCTCGGGAAGCACCGACTACAAGCAAGAAAGATTGTTTGATGTGAAGACAAAACATGCAGCGCTTGGTCCCCTTCCCTGAGGTTAAGATTCCTCGATTTGGCCAATTTCCACTTCTGGATCCCGCTGCTGTCCTGGATTGACAAGACTCATGTTCTAAAGGGCTTCCAAAGACCAGGCAAAGAATAGTTGTAGCGTAGACTTGAACTGTGGCACTCTCTAAACTTGGTTGTTTGCTTGCAAACCTTTCATGGCCCAACTAGGTCCCATCATCGGTATATGATGATCACCATCGCAAACAGATGTTATCTAGTTGGCTCATGAAACATCTGGAAGTAAACAACCAAGCTCAAAGAGCACCAAGGACTCCACACAGAAAGCAGCATCCAAACCAACTGTCAGTTAGCAATGGCCAACCTTGAACCGGCCTCTACACCTAGCAATCACCAACGTAACATGAATCCTGGTTTGTTTAAAGAAGCAAGACTAAAGCACTTTTTACCTGCAGCATGCAACTGATCCGCCAGGTCGTACAACAGCTTGAAGTTTTCGCCACTCTTCAAGCCTCGCCCTTAAAAATAGGAAATTAAATCTGTTCAGTTAAAGTCCAGTGTCCAATAGATTCCTTTAGGGGTTTGTGAACTCTCACACTGGAGATTTTCAAAGGAAAAAAAAAAAAGGTGGGATGGCTATCTCTCAGGGATGCGAGAATGTTGGGTTCTTTGCATCAGACCGGGGGTAGGACTAGATGCTCTCTAAGTCCCTCTCAGCTCTTCCATTCTACACTCCGAGTTCTTCTGCCCGATTTCATTTCTCCATGCACCCCAGCCAAGGAACAAGAAGAATTTGCATGGCGTTTGCTGTGGTTATTTTCACAGGTAAGTGTCGCTTCTGGATTAACGGCTTATTTCCTTATCCCCGCTCAACAAAATCCACAGGGTCGAAACGGGACTTAAATCTTGGCAGACCGTCCTCCCTTTGGCTAGAATTTTCTAGCAGGAAAGCAGGGCAACATCTCACTGCTTGCTTTGAAGGTGGAGATACTGAGTGAAATACAGCCTTACAGTATTTGCTACCCACTGTGACCAATGAAAAGCAGATCAGTTTTGGAATTAAGACTTTTATTAGAGCTCTTCACCAATGGTTAAGTCAAAGGTTGGTGTTTATGGTGATTAATGTCACCTCCAACTTGGTAAACTGCAACTCCCTTTATTCTGTCTCTGGCTGAAAGCTCCTAAGCCAGAGTTTTGGCAGGATGCCCCGTTTTTTAAATGCGGGTAGTCCTCGGCTTAAGACCACAATTGAGCCCAAAATTTAGGATGCTAAGCGAGACAGCTGTTCAGGGAATTTTGCCCCATTTTGAGATCTTTCCTGCCACAATTGTTAAAGGAAACGCTGCGGTCGTTAAGTTAGAAACACGATCGTTAATTGAATCTGGTTTCCCCCTTGACTTGGCTTGTCAGAAGGTCACAAAAGGGGATCACACGACTGCCAGGACACAGCAACCATCGTAAATATGAGTCAGTTGCCAAGCATCTGAATTTTGACTAATAATAATAATAATAATAATAATAATAATAATAATAATAATAATAATAATAATAATAATAATAAAGTTGGAAGGGACCTTGGAGGTCATCTAGTCCAACCCCCTGCTCAGGCAGGAAACCCTATACCATTTCAGACAAATGGCTGTCCAGTCTCTTCTTAAAAACTTCCATATTGGAGCATTCACTGCTTCTGGAGGCAGGTGGTTCCACTGGTTAATTGTTCTCACTGTCAGGAAGTTTCTCCTTAGTTCTAGGTTGCTTCTCTCCTTGATTAGTTTCCATCCGTTGCTTCTTGTCCTGCCTTCAGGCGCTTTGGAGAATAGCTTGACTCCCTCTTCTTTGGGGCAGCCCCTGAGATACTGGAACACGGCTAACATGTCCCCCCTCGTCCTTCTCTTCGTTAAACTAGACATACCCAATTCCAGCAGCTGTTCCTTATATGCTTTAGCCTCCAGTCCTCTAATCATCTTTGTTGCTCTTCTCTGCACTCTTTCTAGTCTCAGCATCTTTTTTACATCGTGGTGACCAAAACTGGATGCAGTATTCCAAGTGTGGCCTTACCAAGGCATTGTAAAGTGGTATTAACACTTCAAGTGATCTTGATTCTATCCCTCTGTTAATGCAGCCCAGCACTGTGTTGGTCTTTTTGGCAGCTGCAGCACACTGCTAGCTAATATTTAAGTGATTGTCCACTAGGACTCCGAGTGGACAATCACTTAGATATGAGCCAGCAGTGTGCTGACCAGGGGGATCCGGCAATGGTCATAAGTCACTTTTTTCAGGGCCTTTGTAAATTTGAATGGCCACTAAATGGCTGTAAGTCGAGAACTACCTGCATACAGACTCCCTTTTGAATCTGAATAAACTTTGATTAATCATTACTTACCGCCTGATACAACCACCTTTGCACTAGTAAGTTCTGGCCGGTCACTTTTGGTCAACTTCTGCTCAATCCATTCCGACTGGCCGACAGGTGCAGGGGCTGATACTGTTGATGTTAACAAGACACCTTAATTAATAACCAATTTAATTAAAAAGTAATCCTGATACTTAAGAGAGGCTGAATATGTCAGTATTTATTTTAATAGATGTTTTAACCCAACGGCATCCGAAGCAAAAGAAGGCCCCCCCAAAAACCCCACTCACTTTTTTCGACAGTGGCGCTGCCTCCGCTCACTGGGGCAGCCTCAAAGGAAGTCCCCCGGATGGAAAGCACCTTGATCTTCTCCTCGCACTTCACAGTGCACAGGGCGTTGCCTGACACAACACAACACAAAACCCAGGGGGGGGGAAAAGGTCAAATACAGCTGCACCCAGACCATGGCTTGTCTCTTGCTGGGATAAAACTACTTCAGATAGCGAAACTTAAAAGGTTTAGAAGCAGTCTCAAGAGATGGACATTTCCACTTTTCCAGGAGACACCTCTAGCGTAAGAATTCTTTCCTTCCCTCCTGAAGCTGAACGGCTCCACTGATTCGGGAGAATGAAACCGGGCAATTTTTGCAGGAGTCTGCAGTTGCGGTTTTGTATGAAAAAAGCACCTACTGTCTGAACACAGGGCCTGCAAGCCACAATCACAAAGCAGAATGCTTATGGAGAGGGGGGTGGAGGAGGAAGGAGAGGAGGAGAAAGGTGAAGAGCAGGGGGAGAGGAGAAAGAGGAGGGAGAGGGAGAGGGGGAGGGAGGGAGGAGGAGAAAGGTGAAGAGCAGGGGGAGAGGAGAAAGAGGAGGGAGACGGGGAGGGAGGGAGGAGGAGAAAGAGGAGAAAGGTGAGGAGGAGGAAGGAGAGGAGAAAGGTGAAGAGCAGGGGGAGAAGAGAAAGAGGAGGCAGAGGGAAAGAGGAGGAGAAGGAGGAAGGGGAAGAGGGGAAGAGGAGGAAGAGGGAGAGGGAGGGAGGAGGAGGAGAAAGAGGAGNGAAGAAAGAGGGAGAGGGAGGGAGGAGGAGGAGGAAGAGGAGAAAGGTGAGGAGGAGGAGAAGAAAGAGGGAGAGGGAGGGAGGAGGAGGAGGAAGAGGAGAAAGGTGAGGAGGAGGAGGAGGGAGACGAGGAAAGAGGGAGGGAGGAAGGAGAGGAGAAAGGTGAAGAGCAGGGGGAGAGGAGGGGGAGGGAGGGAGGAGGAGGAGGAGGAGGAAGGAGAGGAGGAAAGGAGGAAGGAGGAAGAGAGCATAACAATTTTTCAAAGGGAAATTATGAGACCGTCATTCAAGCCTCTCCATGCAATCCATCCCTCTCCAAGGCAAGACAGCACTGACCAAAGGAAAAAGGGAGTCTGCCATGACAAATTTAAAACGACATAAAAGCTCATGTTTCCATGTCCAAATTGCATTAGGGGGATCAGATAAACGTAATGAGGCTAGACAAGTATTTGGGCTGCACAATAATTAGGGGAAGTCAATTAAATATTACAAATAATTGTATCAATGTCCTCCTAACCAAGAAAAATAACCCTACGGACTGCTGAAATCCGAACTAATGCCACCCCCGTGAAAGAAAGGGGATCAAGCCGGATGGCTGAGGGTTGGCAAAATCTGATCAGAAGTGCATTAACAAGAATGCAAGGCAGATTTGGTTAATTAAGAAGCTCTCTCTGGTTGCCCAGAACACCCAGCAACAATCCTAGAGGGCTGGGAAGGATCCCATTAGCTGTGTCGGAAAAATCGTTTTTGTTTCCACAGATCCTACAGTTCCCTTTTTTTGAACTTCGGTGCATGTGTGTGTGTGTGTGTCACAGGTAGACCAGAATAGGCCTGCAAATCTCACCTGCATAAATAGTCCTCACAAAAGTATCGGCGGACTTGATTTCAGTGACATCTGAGATAGGAGCAACATCCAACTTAGCTGCCACTCTGGGAAGGAGATTCTAAACATTAAAAATACACCGACAGTCACAACTCGGCAACCTCCAGACAAAACTAAGCAGCGGTTCAGAATTCTACCCGGAAAATTAAAGATACATTTAAAGAAGCATATTTAGGGCTTCGGTGTGACACAAACTCCATTAAAATGAGGCAAGGTTGATGGATTGAAAGCATATGCAATATTTTGGGAGGGCCATCCGGCCCTCTCAATTCCTGGCAAATAGATGGGGAAGAAATGGAGGTAGTGACAGATTTTATCTTCCTGGGCTCCAAGATCACCGCAGATGGGGACTGCAGCCAAGAAATCTTTCCTGGGGAGGAAAGCTATGGCAAATCTAGACAGCATACTAAAACTCAGAGACATCACCCTGCCAACAAAAGTGTGTATAGTCAAGGCCATGGTTTTCCCAGTTGCAATATATGGATGTGAAAGTTGGACCATAAGAAAGGCTGAGTGACAAAGAATGGAGGCCTTTGAACTCTGGTGCTGGAGAAGGCTCCTGAGAGTCCCCTGGACTGCAATGCGATCCAACCGGTCAGTCCTAGAGGAGATCAACCCCGAGGAGGAGATCAACCCCTGCTCTTTAGAAGGCCAGATCCTGAAGTTGAAACTCAGGTACTTTGGCCACCTAATGAGAAGGAAGGACTCACTGGAGAAGAGCCTGATGCTGGGAAAGATGGAGGGCAAGAGAAGAAGGGGACAACAGAGAATGAGGTGGCTGGATGGAGTCACTGAAGCAGGAGGCGTGAGCTTCAATGGACTCCAGAAGATGGTAGAGGACAGGAAGGCCTGGAGGAACGTTGTCCATGGGGTCGCGATGGGTCGGACACGACTTCGCAACTAACAACAACAATTTACAGGTCGTCCTTAACTTACTGCTGCTTGCTTAACAACCATTTAAAACTATAAAGGACCCTCTGAAATTTATTTACAACCTAGTTCCAAAGTTATGATGATGACAAGCAAAGTCAACAGGGGAAGTCAGATTTGTTTAATGACTGCGTGATTCACTTAACAACTGTGGCAAGAAAGGTCATAAGATGAGGGAAAATGCAACCACTATCTTGCTTAGAAACAGAGCTTATGGTTGTTAAGTCGAAGACTATGTGTATTTCAGGTTTCGGCAACAATATACCCCACACCAAACAGCCGCTGAGTTTGCTCAAAGGTTGTAAAATCAGGCCTGGTCACCCAATGACCTGCTTTACGACAGTTTATGGGCTACAACCAAAATTGCCAGAACTTAATTACAGTCATAAAGTTGAGGACTACCTGTATGTAGTGGTTCAGGGGTCTTGAAACTTGGCCCTTTTATGACTTGTGGACTTCAACTCTCAGAATTCCTCAGCCAGGCACCCGTGCCTGGCTGAGGAATTCTGGGAGTTGAAGTCCACAAGTCATAAAAGGGCCAAGTTTCAAGACCCCTGCAGTGGTTCAATGTCTTTAGAGCAGGGCTTTTCAACCAGTGGTATGGGTACCACCTGTGGTACATTGGCACCTGGCAGGTGGTACGCGGCCATCCTAGAAAAGGGGGAGTGGGAGGGGAATGAGCTGAACCGGTGGCAGCACCACAGAAGCCTGAGCGAGAGATGGCTGGAGCTGCAGGGCTATCAGGGCTCAGTGGAAGCACCAGGATCAGCGCCAGGCTCCAGCTGGAGCTCGGTGCTGATCCTGGTGCTTCTGCTGAGCCCAGAAGAAGCGCCAGGATCAGCTGGAATGTTGCAGCCTCTCCAGGGTCTTGTGATTTACATTCAGATGCTTGGCAACTGATTCATATTTATGACGGTCACAGTGTCCCAGGGTCATGTGAAGTGACCAAAACCTGCTGCAACCACCCAGCAGACGGGGGGAATAAAAACCAAACACCCCCCTACCCCACCCCCACTGCCAATCCTCAACAGAAATGCTCATAACAATGGAAACCTCGGACAGGAGGAAGAGCGCCGCCGGGCGGGCAGGCAGGTGTCTTGCTCGGCTGTGGCGTGGGGGGCACTTTTTTCAGTGCCATTGTAACTTTGAACAGTCACTAAGCGAACTGTTGTAAGTCGAGGACTACCTGTACTTTATCACATTTTTCCTTTTTTGGGGGGGGGGTCATCAAGTTTTTGACACTTTGCTAGGTGACTAGTGGTACTTGGATATTGCCATATCCTAAAAGTGGTACAATGGGTGAGAAGGTTGAAAAGCCCTGCTTTAGAGGAACGGATTCCTGGATAATTTAAAAGATGCTCACCTTCCCAAAGGCAGATGCTCCGGCACAGATGTGCGTGTAACTGAACTGTTTCTGAGTTTCCAAAATCAGCGGTGTCAGCTCCTCTGCAGAAAAAAAATATAATGGCCGGAGCAATGTTGTTTTTTTTCTTCTTTGGGGAGGGAGGGGGGAGAAGACAGATTGCAAAGAATCTTAATGCAAAATTCGCCTGGAAAAAAAAAAAAAGACTCACCAGCCAGAAGTCCTTTATATGCATCGTGTTGGGCAAAAAGCACCTTGGAAACTCCAGGTATTTTGCTCAGCTCTTGTGCCACCTGTGAGAAGTAAGACTATGACGTCAGTCATCCCCAATTCCCAGAATTCGCAGCTGTCTCCAACATCTGGAATGTTAGATTACTATTTGTACAGTGTTTGATTATTATTTGTATTGTAGTATTTGTGTGGACTTCAAGTCTCAGAGTTTTCCAGCCAGTCGGCCGGGCCAGCTAGGGAATTCTGGGAACTGAAGTCCATACATCTCAAGAATTGCCAAGGTCCAGGGCAGGGGTAGGCAATCTTGGCTCTTTTATGACTTGTGGACTTCAACTCCCAGAATTCCTGAGCCAGCCATGCTAGCCCAGGAATTCTGGGAATTGAAGTCCACAAGTCATGAAGGGGCCATAGCTCCCCCATGCTGGCTCAGGAATTCTGGGAGTTGAAGTCCACAAGTCAAGAAGGAGCCAAGGTTGCCTACCCCTAGTCTAGGTTGCCTTTTAGAGACTGAGTGCCCAAACTGCAACCCAAAACCCATTTATGCATCATCGAGTGCTGGGTGGGTGTGGCCCATTGGGTGGGTGTGGCCCATTGGGTGGGCGTGGCCCATTGGGTGGGCGTGGCTGCAGTGGTAACGGCAGACTGGGTGGGACTAAAAAGTTCAATCAATCAATTTCAACTTTGCAAGAACTTTTTTTTTCCCGCGAGAAAATGATGCTGGCGAAAAAATAATTACATGGGGGGATGCAGAACTGTAATTAAGAGCATTTTCTCAACTTTAAGACACGTGGACTTCAACTCCCAGAATTCCATGATGGCTAGGGAATTCTGGGAGTTGAAGTTCTCAAGGTTGAAAAACATTGAATTAGAGCTTGGATATTCTTAATTCTTTCAGTCCTACTCAGATATCTTAAGACAACTCCAACATTATTATTTTTTTAAATTTCTGTACTTAACTTTGAAAAAAACTCACATCAAAACTAATTAGCATTTACATCAGCAAGCTATCAACAACACCAACTCCCTGTGTCAGCCCCCCCTTTTTTTTTAACCTTTTCACAACTGGTCCCCGCTACTAAACAGGACACTTCACCCCCAAGTCGTTTTGCCGCAGTAATGGTGTTCAAAGTAATTGGTGTCAGGGTCTCATTGGCGTGCTCAGCAATTACTAGTGTACTCTGAAACCGGTGAAGTAACAAAATCTGGAAAAGAAGATAAAGAAGGGAGAGAGGAAAAAAAAGCAGTTTGATTAACACAAAAATATCTGAAATTCTGCACAGACAAATAAGATACGCTGCAGATTTTAGCATTCATTTATTGCTTTGTCTCATCAATAGCTGCAATTGTTTTGTAGACAGATGCTTGTATGCTCAGCATTTACAAGCTTAAAACAAGATCTACTGCTTTCTGCCAGAATCTATTTGTGAAGGCTTTTCCATACCCCAATATCTTTGGTATCTTTTACATCATTTCCATCATCCCAAATCAATCCACTGCAGGGTGATTACGGTTATGAACCATGGAAGGTTGCTGTAGCATAATCCACCATGCTAATAGTATGAGTTAATACATAAGTGTTTTCAACATCTCAATTTATATTGAGACTCTAGGTAGAGTACAAAGAAGAGCAACAAAGATGATCAGAGGACTGGAGGCTAAAACATATAAGGAACAGTTGCTGGAATTGGGTATGTTTAGTTTAATTGAAGAGAAAGACGAGGGGGGACATGATAGCAGTCTTCCAATATCTCAGGGGCTGCCCCAAAGAAGAGGGAGTCAAGCTATTCCCCAAAGCGCCTGAAGGCAGGACAAGAAGCAACGGATGGAAACTAATCAAGGAGAGAAGCAACCTAGAACTAAGGAGAAACTTCCTAACAGTGAGGACAATTAACCAGTGGAACAACCTGCCTCCAGAAGCGGTGAATGCTGCAACAATGGAAGTTTTTAAGAAGAGACTGGACATCCATTTGTCTGAAATGGTACAGGGTTTCCTGCCTGAGCAGGAGGTTGGACTAGATGACCTCCAAGATCCCTTCCAACTTTATTATTATTATTAAGGGGGGGAAACGCCAGGCCAAAATTCACCTAAGCATCGTCCATACCTAAAGGACAATCAGAATTTGTATCTCCTTGTTCCTAATCCATCACCTTAACCACGATGCCACAGTGCTTCTTAATCTATGAAATACCATGCCAAAAATAACTGGAGGATACGTAACAGTGGAGACAAGAATATTATTAAGATAGTCCTTGATTTACAACGGTGCATTTAGTGACTGTTCGAAGTTACAACAGCACTAAGGAATAACTTATGACCGTATTTCATATTTACGGCTGTTGCAGCATCGCCACGGACACAGGATCAAAATTCAGACTCTTGGCAACTGATTCATGTTTATGAGGTTGCGGTGTCCCAGAGTCACGTGATCCCCTTTTGTGATCTTCTGACAAGCAAAGTTGAAGGGGAAGCAAGATTCGCTTCACGACCGTGTTATTCACTTAACGACTGTGGCAAGAAAGGTCGTAAAACGGGGCAAAATTCAGTTAATTTCAATTAGCAACAGAAATTTTGAGCTCAATTGTGGTCATATGTCACATACACCTCTTAGTTTAAATCTTCAGTCTTCTCCGAATTAGCAAAGCCAAAGACATTCCCTGCTGTTTATTTCCCCGGTTAGAACCAATCCTCCAATTTATTAGATTTTTTTTTCCCTTTAAAGTTCACTGCAAATTCATGACTACTTTTTTTACAGTTGCTTCATTACAAGCTCAACATAAAAATGATTGCAGTAAGATCTCCAAGTTATGAAAGTGCTCTGGATGATGTGATCCGTGATTTAAGGCCGACTGGTAGGAAGAACAGCACCGATTCCTGCAGGGTGCTTCATGTTTCAACTTAAGGGTATTAAATCATCCAAACGTGTAAAAGGATTTTTAAATCATTTGAAGTGAATTACCAGGAAGAAATGACTTATTTCCAATGTACATCAAAAAGAACGTATTTTTGATTAGGCTCCATCCGTCATTTTCCAGAAAAAGTTACAAGGCCGCAGGGCACTGCCTGAAGAATGAATCTATGGCTTCGTGGCAAAATGCCCATATTTGCTTCAATTTATAGTCCTGTCACAAAGGGAAATATGCTGTAACTGCTGAAAGTTGGGATGCTTAAGTTTTCCAGCAGGACTAAGAGCTACTTGAAAAGTCAATCCAGGCTTTGCTGGAGAGGATGTGTTGTTTATTTATTAATAAACACCCAGGGTAGAATGCCACTTTTCTGGAGCCGTGCCTTCTCCTCAACTTAAGATCACAGTTGAACCCAAATTTTCTGTTGTTAAGTGAGACCTTTGTTGCCCCGATTTACAACCTTGCCTCAGTTGTTAGGTGAATCACTGTAGTTGATGAGTTAGTAACCTGGTTGTTAAGTGAATCTGGTTCCCTTGTTGACTTTGCTTGTCAGAAGGTCGCCAAAGGGGATCAACATGACCCCGGGGACGCTGCAACCGTCATAAATCTGAATCAGTTGCCAAGTGTCTGAATTTTAATCGCGTGACCGCAGGGACACTGCAACGCTTGTGTGAAAAAAAAAGTCACTTTTTTCAGTGCCGTTGTAACTTTGAATGATCCCTAAGTGAACGGCTGTAAGTCAAGAATTGCCAGTAGACATTTCCCCTTGAAGTGATTTTTCTACCTTTGTGTAAAGAGAGTTGGACCAGCTGCTTGCCACCTCTTTCCCTGAATACCTTCTGTATTGTTTGCCTTGGATTACCTTTATCTGGGCCACGCATTCATAGGAGCATTCTTGCTCCCATACACAGTATTCGTATTGTTGTCAGTCGTGCCAGGCTCTGTTTTTAAGATTTTTTTTAAAAGCGTGATTTTTGATATCTTTCCAAGTCCTTCCTTAAAAAGCAGAGCATATAAATACATTCAAAGTCTTCTTAAAAGGATGGTTTCTTCTCTTTCCTATTCCAACTTTCCTGTCTTTGAAAGTCGATCCACTTTTGACCTAGTACAGGGGTAGGCAACCTTGGCTCTTTTATGACTCGTGGACTTCAACTCCCAGAATTCCTGAATCAGCTGTCCACGAGTCATAAAAGAGCCAAGGTTGCCTACCCCTGACCTAGTAGGAACCCAGCCAGGAGGTGGGAAGATGGAGTCCTGTCCAGTGGTGGGAGGGATTCCAGTCAACCATTAACTGAGAAGCCCTCCAGAAAGCACAATTTTCTCGCTGCACAATTTTTTCTTGTACAAAATGTATAGTTTCCCCACCCAGGATGGCTTCACCAAGCAAAACTTCACCAACAGGCTCTGCTACCTCCTTCACTATTTCACCCTCCCTACCAAGAGTCTCTTTGATGTGGCTGGCATTCCCGCCTGGCCGGCTTTTGCACATGGGCACTGATGCAAACTGTGGGAGGGAACATCCACAGGCAGGGTTTTTAATGAAAGCTTGAGTGCCGTGTAATTCACCTCAGTGACACTTTGATGGCTACTTTGTTGGAAATGTATAAACACACAGTGGAAGCAAGATTGCTCTATTCAAATGTATAGAGCTAATTCCCGGGGAAGGGGAAGGGGGGGTGTCTTCAAGCTGGGGTTTTAAAAACTTTTCAAATTCCCCAAACTCCTGATCTAGTGAGAGAAAAATGAACTGTATTGAGGGAACTTTAGTTTTTTCCTGCTGTGTACCTGCCACGCAATCCTGCCAAGCCCAGTTTGAGAAATCTCGGTTTAAAAGTCCAGCAGATACACTCTGTAAGACCTATTCAAGCAGAGGATAAACATTTGAGGAGGGGAATGTTTGAATCTGAATTCCTACAATTGCAGGGCTGCTGTTCTTGACGCCCTACCAACTTTTTTCAACTTCTACAGCCCAACAGACAGCTTGTTGTCCTAGGTCTTAAGCTAACAGATGGTGCTCTCCAGTTTTGTAAATTTCATGCCTATCAGCAAAAAAAACCCCTCAGTTTCAAAAGGGGCCTCTAATTCAGAATCAAAGGTAAGTTGTCTCTCCCACTTCTAAGAACACCGACTCGGGAGGGTACACAACCAATTTCCGCAAACTGGCAACCTGCAGAAAGGCTACAATAATAATAATAAAGTTGGAAGGGACCTTGGAGGTCATCTAGTCCAACCCCCTGCTTAGGCAGGAAACCCTATACCATTTCAGACAAATAGCTGTCCAGTCTCTTCTTTAAAACTTCCAGTGTTGGAGCATTCACCACTTCTGGAGGCAGGTTGTTCCACTGGTTAATTGTTCTCACTGTCAGGAAGTTTCTCCTTAGTTCTAGGTTGCTTCTCTCCTTGATTAGTTTCCACCCATTGCTTCTTGTCCTGCCTTCAGGCGCCTTGAAGACCCAGCCAAGACCCAGTCAGGGCACCTCACTTCTGTCCTTTGCATGACAACATCACAACATTTCTGATGTCGTTGTCAATGACACCACGACAAAGCGAAGAGCTTTGGAGCTGAAGGGTTTTGCGGGCAGCTGTGGCTGGCATCTTCAGAGGCAGAGCAAGCTCCTTTGCGGACTATCGCATGAGCTGCGAAGACACCTGAAAACTGGGCCAGGGTCATTCAGCCCCATCCCTGCTCGATTGACACCCCTCCCCAGCCATGAAAGCCGGCCCAGAATAACCAGCATAAAGGTTGACATGCCAGGGACGGGCCAGGAACATTCCACAAGAGCCTTGAGTGGCAGGAAACACCACTCAAAATTTGTACGCCGTTCCACAACTGGATAGGGTATAGTTTAGCAAATGTATATAAGTGTACCAAATAAATAAAAATACATAAACGTAAATAATAAAGGGAAAAATCAATAGATGCGGTCACTAGGAGCCCAAAATAACCCAATGGAACATAATCCAACTATTGAAAGATAAATCAACAAATCAAAGCCATAAAATCCCCAATCTGGGTCCTCCAAAGGGCTGCAGTTCTTCAAAGAGGATTGAGGGGTGTTTTTTTGGGGGGGGAGATCCACGTCTGATTCTCAGGAAACCCCCTCCCCCCCCAGTATCGGAAGCCACCTGGGCAGATGTCTACGGAGATTGTCAAGTCATCCAGGTCCTGGTTGTCCCAAAGGTACTTTTTTCCAAGAGGCAACTGGACTGTCTTTGTTTTTCTTTGAAGACCTTTCACCTCTCATCCAAGAAGCTTCTTCAGTTCTGACTCAGTCTTCGGTCAGAGCGGAGGAAGCTTCTTGGATGAGAAGCGAAACCTCTTCAAAGGAAAAACCAAGAAAGTCCAGTTGCCTCTTGAAAAAAAAAGCACTTTTGGGACACCTGGGCACATGCCCCCCCCCAAAAAGGGGGGGCCATGTGAAAGTGGCCCATTCCGTTCCCCCCCTTGGGTGCCCCCAAGACCCCTGACCTGGGCGCAGAGAGGGACCCCCTGCCTGACCCCACTTTAGGCAGCCAAGGGGCCAGAGGGGGCACCCACATTTTGCAAGGAGGAGGTCAAAAGGTTTGGGGAGGGGGGTTCCAGCTGAGAGGGGCGTGTCTGTGTTTGTTCCCGCCCCCAAAGCCCCCTTTTTAAATGACATTGCCAGCCACGTCCTACCCTGCAGGGACGGCAGAGGAGAGGGAGGGGCTTCAAGGTCCCCACCCCGCAGGAGCCCCTCCCACCCAGGGAAGCGTGGCCTTGATTCCCTCGCGTGACCTTTGCCCTTGGGGGTGCGGCCGGCCTACCCTGCAGGGCTGGCCGGCAGGAAGGCCGGGTCCCTGTCTGCAGCCGGTACTCACCGCTCTCCGCCCCAGGCGCTGCGCCCTGAGGAAGCCCCGGAGCGCGGTCATGGCGGCGACCCTCGACGGCGAGCCTTCTTCCTCCTCTTCCTCGGCCTCCGCCTCAGGCACCGCCCCCGCCCCCGCCTCCGTCTCCGCCCCGTCTCATCTCGCGAGAGTTCGGGGGAACGAGAGGCGGCTCCGCGTCCGCCATTGCAGTTTAGGAGCGGCGGCGCCGCTCATTGGCAGACGGGAGCCAATCAACGTAAGAGGCGGGAACGCCAATTTTTTTTTTTTTCGCCAAGTCGATCCGCCTTGAAATGAGCTACCAAGAGGCGTGGTGACTTTTGACGGGCCGACCAATCAGAGAATGGGGGCGGGGCAGGTTTTTCTAATTCATCTATTCCTTAGCGCCGCCTTGAAGGACGCAACGCTTGGACTTCATCTCCCATAAGCCCTTTCGCTGGGGGCTTCTGGGAGTTGTCCTATCTATAATCCCAACCAGTGTTTCCCAACTTTGGTACTTCTAAGATATCTGGACTTCCATTCCCAGAATTCCCCAGCCCTGAATCCCTTCATCTGTATTAAAAAGCCAAATATTTTCAATTTTAACCTATCAGTGCTGTCAATCAACAGTCCTGCTTTTGTGGCATCTAACATTAAATATTTTATTCCTCTTGTTTTCAGCAGTTTTCTCCAACTCTGTGATTTTGCACTATTTAGCCTTTCCAGCGGTCTATCTTTCTCTGCCATTTATGTAGTTATGACATGCTTGACGTTTTTCCAATGGGTTCAATGTCCCTGCCCTTTAATATCAAAGAGATATTGCAATATTTGATCTAGATTTATCATGGTCTTTCTATGACATAGCTGGTTCCGAATAAAACTGAGTATAATTTTGTGAAAAATACCACATAAATAACCTAGCTGCTTAGCCTGAATTCATGGCAAAAGTGCCCGGATCTATTTAAACAAGTCATGAAGATTTTTGGATTTTGGACGGTACTAAATTAAATTAGTAATTTAAGCCTCAAGCAGTTATACTAATCCAGAAGGCTTGGCACCTTGAACAGGACAAGTGTTTAAGCCCTTTCGAACCAAGAGAATGGCTCTCCATTTGTAGAAGACATTGGTTGACAAATGCAGAGAAGAGCAACAAGGATGATGAGTGGACTGAAGGCTAAAACCTATGAAGAACGGTTGCAGAAACTGGGCATGGCTAATCTAGAGATGAGAAGGACCAGGGGAGACATGACAACAGTGGTCCAATATTTGAGGAGCTGTCACAGAGAGGAGGGGGTCAATCTATTTTCTAAAGCACCTGAAGGCCAGACAGGGAACAATGGATGGAAACTGATCAAGGAGAGACTCAACTTAGAAATAAGGAGAAATTTTCTGACAGTGAGAACAATCAACCAATGGAACAGCTTGCCTTGCCTTCAGAAGTTGTGGGAGCTTCATCACTGGAAGCTTTCAAGAAGAGACTGTCAGAAACGGTGCTTGGGCAGCGGAGGGGGGGGGGGTTGGACTAGAAGACCTCCAAGGTCCCTTCCAACTCTATTACTCTATTCTATTCTTTAAAAAGTCAGAATGTCTCAGAGCCTTGCCTATAAACCAGACCCCCCTGCCTGAAATCTTCACCAAGTATTTCTCGCCAAGACCAAGTCAACCACCCCACTTTCGGCCTGAATGGAATATACATTAAATCTCCCTGCTGCTTTTCCACTTTGCATCTGCCCAAAGTTTGGAGGGGCTTTGCATAATCTGTCCGGAGGTGCCTGGAACAAGATTGGAAAGCCGAAATGCTGGGAGTTTCTTGCCTGGGTCTTCCCCCTCCGCTTTCCCCTTCTCCTGCCAACTGTCTGTTTGACCTAGCAGCTTCAAAGCCCAGTCACGCCACACCAGCCCGGCCCCGTATCTCCCTTCCAAGAGATTTACTACTCCGTCAGCTGACGCTCCTTCCTCAGACGCAGCTCAAAGGCCATTAAATCTGCAGAGCCCGTTCCTAAAGCAAGAGGCTCGTTCTTTCCCTTCTATAATTTATGGGCTTTCAAGGGGTTTTTAAGGAACCAAGCCTCTCGGTCTCCGGATTTGAATTTCATGGGGCAATATGAAAGTGATTAAACGAGAACTTCTCGGAATGTGGTTTGTGTTCTGAGCCATGGAGGCAGCCGACGACGCAACCGATCAAACTCAACCTCGGTGGTTTACCTAATCCTGCTCAGGACAAGCCGTGCAGCCCAGCTGCAGCTGGTCCCAGTGGCAGAAAGCCCCCGGGAGAAACAGGGTGCCAGGATGTCACCAGGACTGCGACAGCTTTCAAAACCCCCCAAGAGAGTATTTTGGCAGCTCTTTCGTGTAGATATCGACTTGCCAGAATTCATTTAGTGACTGTTCAAACTTACAACGGCCCTGAAAAAAGCAACTTAGGACTGTTTTTCACACAACTATTGCAGAATCCCCGTGGTCACGTGATCAACATTCAGTTGCTTGGCAACTGGCATGTACTTGTGACGGTTGCAGTGTCCCAAGGTCATGGGATCATCTTTTGCAACCTTCTGACGAGCAAATTCAATGGGAAATCCAGATTCAGTTTATAATTAGGTTAGTAACTTAACAACTGCAGCTTGTTTCGCTTAAAAACTTGTGGCAAGGAAGGTCATGAAATGGGGCAAAGCTCACTTAAGAACTGTCTCCCTTAGCAACAGAAATTTGGGGCTCAGTTGAAGTCGTAAGCTGAGGACTGCCTGTATTTAGTCTTTTCTTTGGATCTGTACAGGATGACAGGCTATAAAGATTTAAACTGTCTGCACATTTGGTCAAAATGCTTGCCCTGCGGCCTGGGAAGCTTGAAAGGTTGGGCACTAACATTCTGGAAAGGATGAAGTAGGGTACCTGTGATACGCACAGCCACCTCCTTGTAGCAGAATTATACTACGGCTTAGTTGTGGGGTGTGAAATCAGCCCCTTTGGGGATATCCTGCATGTATGAATGGATATCATGACCAGTTTATTATACTATGGCCAGTTTGGTCCAGTGCTCTAGTGGTTAAGACTTCAAATCCCGTGTTAGCCATGAAAGTTGGCTGGGTGATTATTGCTTTGTTGCCTTTGACTGAATTTTCCATCTCTCCCCACCTATCTTTTGCACAGAACATTCTAGAATAGAATAGAGCTGGAAGGGACCTTGGAGGTCTTCTAGTCCAGCCCCCCGCTCAAGCAGGGGAACCTACACCATCTCAGACAAGTGACTGTCCAGTCTCCTCTTAAAAATCTCCAGTAATGGAGCGCCCACGATTTCTGATGGCAAACTGTTCCACTGGTTAATTGTCCTCACTGTTAGGAAGTTTCTCCTTAATTCCAGGTTGCTTCTCTCTTTGGTCAGTTTCCAACCATTGTTTCTCATCCTTCCCTCTGGTGCTTTGGAGAATAAAGTGATCCCCTCTTCTTTGTGGCAGCCCCTCAAGTACTGGAACACTACTATCATGTCACCCCTGTTTCTTCTTTCCTTTAGACTTGCCAAACCCAAGCCCTGTAGCCATTCTTCATATGTTTTAGTCTCCAGGCCTTTGATCAATTTAGTTGCTCTTCTCTGATTTTTTCCCAAAAAAATTCTAGTGTATTGCAATGCCTTTTTCTGGGTGCACAGCACAGGCAACCTCAGGGAACAAGTCTCCATATCTTCCCAGCAATTGGCAAGGACATTCAGACAGCATTCCACATCCTGCTGAAAACAGCACGCATGGCTGGCATCCCACGGATGGCAGAAAGTTTGATTAGGAATGTTGCTTCTCTGTCTACCCCTGTTCTTAAACCCACCATTCTTACAAAGCAAAGTCCTTTTTCCCTGGCTAACTGCATTAGATAATAGGAACCATCAATTGGAAATTAAACGGGGCTGCGTAAAAATGCCTTGAACATTAACAGCATTTAAATAATAATAATAATCTCATCGACCGTGCAAGAAGAAAAAAGTCCAGATTTTCTATATCACTACATAAACATATCATTGCTTCGCCCCCCCTAGGCAGATAATCCTCTCTCTCCCTCTCTCTCTCCCTTTTGGAAAGACCTGAGTGAGGAAGACAAACCCCCCAGGCAAAAGCAATACCCTCCATAGAATAATCGGAGATACATCTTACACCAGTTGTATGCATATGTTAGACACTAAATCCTTGGCTTAGGATAAAAAAAAGGGGGGGAAATGTAGGTCAGGTTTCTCCACTTCTGCCATACAAATATCTGGGAAAGTTTTGAGCCCCCCCCCTGTCTCCCCAGCCAGCAGGTGTCTGTCCTTCAGCTGCAAATCAATGAGATCAATAGAGCAGGACGAGACTATATGGATCGGTGCCACATGTCCGTAACTCTTGTAAACCGGAAATCAATTAATGGCAGTTGTCCGTCTCTATCTCAACCTTCTGGGGTGACAGAGAAAAGCTTGTGAACCTTCTCCAAAGATTTGCCCGGCATCGTAAAATGGAAGAGCAGGAAGGAGCTTTGGAGGTCATCTATTCCAGGGCTTTTCAACTTTTCACCCATTGTACCACTTTAAGGATATGGCAACATCCGAGTACCACCAGTCGCTTAGCAAGGTGTCAAAAACTTGATAAAGTACAGGTAGTCCTCGACTTATAACCGTTTGCTTAGTGACTGTTTGAAGTTACAATGGCACTGAAAAAAATGCCCCCCAAGCCACAGCCGAGCAAGACACCTGACTGCCTGCCCGGCCGTGCTCTTCCTTCTGTCCGAGGTTTTCATTGTTGTGAGCATTTCTGTTGAGGATTGGCAGGGGAGGGGGTGTTTGGTTTTTATTTCCCCCGTCTGCTGGGTGGTTGCAGCAGGTTTGGTCACTTCACATGACCCTGGGACACTGTGACCGTCATAAATATGAATCAGTTGCCAAGCATCTGAATGTAAATCACAAGACCCTGGAGATGCTGCAACATTCCAGCTGATCGGCGCTTCTTCTGGGCTCAGCAGAAGTGCCAGGATCAGTGCTGCTTTCCAGATGATTGGTGCTTCTTCAGGGCTCAGCAGAAGCACCAGGATCAGCGCCGAACTCCAGCTGGAGCCTGACGCTGATCCTGGCGCTTCCACTGAGCCCTGA